GGATAAATGTCCTGGCAGACAGCATGTGGCCCACGGGCCACAGTTTGAGGATGCCTGCTATACAGGATGTTACTGGAGGCAATTGTAACAATGGTATTTGTGTATCTAGACATATCTAAACATAGAAAAGCCACATGAAAAATAGAGTATCATAACTTTATGGGACCACTGTCATATATGCAGTCTGTTGTTGACCAAAACATCATTAGGTGGTACATGACTGTACTACATATGGCAAAAGAGTGAAATTAGCAATCCAATAATGGGTATCTTTCTCCTTAGTTATACTGACAAAACAACAGAACTTATAAAGAGGGAAATTATTCTATCTTTGTGGTGATGTAATAGTGCTGTATTTTGATTTGGGTGGTGGTTATACAATCTACACATGTAATAAAATGGCACAGAACTTACACACAGTGAACCAATATCCATTTCCTGGTTTTAACATTGTACTAATGTTATGTAAGATGTAACCAATAGGGGAGATTGGATGAAAGGTACAGTGCCCTCTCTACTATTTTTGCAACTTTCTGTGAATCTATAATATGTTAAAAGGATTATAAGGACTTCCCAGCATTCTAAAGACTCACAATAATCCTATTAAATAGGTACTATTTTTATCCCCATTCTATAACTGGAGAAACAGAGGGTACAGACATTTTAAATGACTTGCCCAAGGTCACACAACCAGTAAGTGACAGAACCAGGATTTGGACATAGGTAGAATTATTGTAAAATTTGAATTTATCTGAAAGTCTGGGCAGCCACTGAAGGATTACAGACAAAAAGTTTGTTTGACAATCAAGTTCACACTTTATTTTGGCAAGATATCCCAGGTAGGAGTGTAGAATTAATGAAAAAAAACTTTAAGCAAGATTAGTTAAGAAACTGATATAATAAGCCAGAAATGATGAAGGCCTGAATTAAGGGAATAACAATAGAATGAAAAGAAGTCAGTGTATATAGAGTGCAAAATCAACTTGACTTTATGAGTGGGTGGGGAGTGAGGACAATTTCAAGGCTTGACTGAGTAGACCCAAGCCAACAGTTTCATGTTTTAACAATAAATACTACCACCTTATCAAAATCTTAAACCAAACAGGTTCATACTTAAGTCCTCCTCATTTGACTTAGCTTCTATAAATGAAAGTTATTGCTGCTTGACAACTCCATACTCATTAATAGGTATACATATGGTAATGAGAGCTATTAAATGTTTTCAATACACCACATATAGACCATCACTAGACATAAGATAAACACAGAGGCAGATAGAGAATATATCCAGTATCCGGAGAGTAGCAATATTTGAATCATAATCAGCATTCTAAATTAAAAAAAAAACTAAATGTCCTTTGAGTGGATTATAATCATTTTATCATCTAAAAGGAAGGAGTCTGGTGTCACCTGTTTTAACAGTGAAAAAAATTAAAATAATTGATCACTTCAAAGCTAAAATCAGACTACTATTAGCTTTTCTTTCTTACTTTGCAAACGTTAAAAAACCCAAAACACTAACCTTATAGGCTAAGGATCTGTAAAATACTGCATGAAGATTATAATAACCACTGGAAAAAATTACTGTAACTTCAACCTTATTACCACTGTGAGGGTAAAAACTATGCTAAGGCCAGGGCCCTTCCAGTAACTAAATGCTCTTGGAAAGTGTCCAAGACAATGTTATAGTAAATTTCCAACTTGTTTCATTTAAAGAAAGCGAGTTATCGTATCTAAAACACTGGTTTAAATAGACTCTAAAACTTTTATATCAAATAAACACACAGAAAATCTTAACTTTGGACCTCTGATGGGCCCTAAGTCCAGTAAGGGCCATATGGAGGATAGCTGCACCTAGGAATCCAAGTCACATATTACTTAATATTGCTAATAACACTATTTTGAGAAAAATTTCAATATTGATAGTTTTCATTTTGACAGAACTATATTTTGGCAAAACCTATTAAAATAATGGGTTATGATGATACTGAAAAATCTCCACAGCTTCTATAAAGTAGACAGCATGTGGTGGTAGTTACTCTTTGGTTTCTAGTTTGAGCCAAAGTTCTGAATCCCCTGCTATTTCTGGCTCAGATTCAAAATTTTTAAGGGCTATATGTCTGATGGATATGTCACAATTTCATATATATACAAATATATACACACACAAATATATATACCACTTTCATGTATATACACACAAATATAAAGGTACATTAACTGTGCTTTCCATTCATAACTGTTTTTTTTAATAAACTGAAGTTCTACTACACTGAGAAGTAAAAGCCAATTGTTAACAGAAAAATCTAGCCAAAGAATAGCAAAGTGAGCTATAAAATTAATTCTGGAAGCCAAAACACTAAATAAAGCAGATTCACAAAACAAACAAAAGCAACATATTTTCAATGAGCACTTTTATCTATAAATATTCACATTTTTAAAGAGTATATCAACTTTCATTTATGACAAATAACATTTACAATAAATGTTTAATTCCCAAAAGAAATAATTCAAGTTTAAAGAGCTGCATAAAAAATATAACAGAAGAGCTATAATGAAATGAACAGAAAACACGAACGTGCTTTTAACAGGAAACATGGCAGCCGTGGGATGGACTGGATATAACGTACAGGAGACTCAAAATGAACAAATTACACATGAATATTCTCAATGTAGTCAACATCTACTGAAAGAAGCAATGCAATTCCAATCAGCATCTGCCACAAAAATTGCCATAAACTGGTGACTTCTATTTTTTAAATAATGAAACAATGAGAAATTAGTTGCAATATATTTTGTAAGTTACCAATACTGAACTATTAAGTTTCTATTAGTAATGTTTTAACTAAAGAGCTGGCACAAATCTGTTCATACAGAGGTAAAAATGAAGCTTTGCTAAAGGCATTTAATGTAAGGCAAAGGCTCCTTTCCTTGAAGCAAATTCGTGACAAATAGTGTTCACTACATGCAGTACACTAAACTAGCAACAGATTAGTTAACAGTTTAGATTTTCAACTTCTCATAATACAGGTGACATGTTTAGAAGTGATCACATTAAAATATAAATGTGTCTTTCACAGATATGGGATGAAATTTTAAGCTGGGCAGGCACCAATGCCCTGGTTTTGTACTTTTTTGTAAACCATATGACTTCCACATGCTGAGAATGTTTTATGCTTTAACCTGCAGTAAAGGCTTTACATCATTTTAATGCCCAGTACTTAGAATGCAACAGAAGCATCCCAAGGAATGCAAGGTATATCTGGTTTACACATAATGATTTTGACCCCACTACTGGTTAGAAAAAGTTTAATGATTGTTTTCCCAGTAAATAACTTTGCATTTCCATAGGGAAAAAAAGAAAGAAAGAAAAGAAAGAGAAAGAAAGAAAGAAAGAAAGAAAGAAAGAAAGAAGAAAGAAGAAAGAAAGAAAGAAAATTTGAGGTAAAGGTAGGTGGAAGAGAAAATACTCTTATTTTTCCAGTTCTTACAAACATTTTAGTTTATTTCTAAAATAATTATTAAACATTTTAAAGCTCTATACCTATTACAATATGTTTCAAAAAAACAAAACACCCCATTACTTAGTTACATAGAATTTTTCTCCAGTTTTTGCAAAGTAATGTTTCAGAAGTCAAGATACATGCTTAAAACAAATAATTCTGAAAACCTTGGTCTATAACAAACTAAAGGTTCAGCTTTGGATCAACATATTCTATATTCTAAATTTGAGATTTAGAAGACACATCAATTTTTTTTTTTCTATTCAGGTCAATTGCAATATATATGCTACCTCAGGCTTATAGTCCCCTTATCTGTGTGAATGATCCACAGCAGAAATTTCAAATCAAAGGTTATAAAATATACCATAAAATTGCATGCTATCTCTATGTGGCTTTCAGTTTTTATAGAATCTAAAGGTCCCTTGTTGATAGGTGGCAAATTCAAGAATTGATAAGTATGGAGTCAACTATGTAAATATATTACATTCTTAGCAATCTAAATAGAGATTATGCCAATTTAAGAGTCCATTACACTAAAAAACTGTCACAGAAGAAGGGTTATTGAAAAACTTACATTTCAGATTCAAGGAAGTACAAAATATGTGATCTTAAATTCTCTTAATATAATGTTATCAAATATTAAAGACTGTGAGAAACAAGAGATGTTGCAATCCTCTTTCCTTTTTAACACTAATTGAAAATTGAAAAAAATCAGAATTCAAATTTTCTAAACTTGACATATCTAGCATCTAGCAAATTAGTTGTGCAATTTTAAAATAAGTTTAATGCAAAGTATTGCGATCCTGATGTGAAAATTACTTGCGGCATAAATGCAAAATAACAACAAATACATCTAATGATGCATTTTACAGTAAAACCACAAAAAGCACAACCATATTAGCACAAACTGAATAAAGAGGCACAGGAGGTATTACGTTCATCAGGAAGAGAAATGTACTATGCCAATAAAGGAAGGACTGAAGGAAGGAAGGAGATGTGGAAGGAAGGAAAAGGGAAGGCAGAGGTTTCTATACCTGCAAAATCCCACAGAAATGAACTAGTCACATCACTCTATATGATACGTGAGGTTTTTTCCAAAGCTTCAGCATAAATAAAGACAGCAATCACTTTACACCACTCAACTTTACATAGTGTAGTATCTTTAAAGCCAACTGCATTCTTCCCTTCACTCACCCAATGCTTCTTCACTCTTCCATACTGGCTTTCAGGCAAATGCAAGACAGAACAGGGTGGAGTAGAAGAAAAATACAAGCAGAGCCTTTCAGCGCATCCCCCCACCCCGCGCCCAAATAATTTCCAACAGTTCTTCCTACTACGAAAATGAGTCGCCCTATCTCAAGATACACAACAGACATTCTGTCTCTTTGGTAGACACACACAGTTGCGTACCCAATCCAGCACTCGCGACCCCCCACCCCACGCCCCCAAATCTTAATTACTTATTTCACGCGAAGACGACAAGATACCTCTACCTACTGTTTTGGGGTGAAGGTGGGTGGAGGACGCCTTTCAAAGTAGCCCCAATAGTGTAACCAAAACACGGTTCCGGAATAAAATATTAAGAAACACTTTTCTTTTCCCACCTATCTATCTACTTCGGGATGCAAAGACACCATCCTCCAAACCACATCATCTCCACAATCCTCCCGCCTGGAGTTTGGGGTGGAGATTTGTCCAGGGGAGGGGGCGGAGGCGGCGGCGGAGCGTGAGCGGGCAATGGGACACAGATGAGTCGCCAGCCCGAACGTCCAGCACCGGGACCTCACGCACGCTTCTCAGCCCAGGCCCAGGGAAAGCTATGACTCTAGCTATCTAACTTCCTATCTGTAGAAATTTCTTCAAGTCGAGCATAGCACACAAATTATACACGTCACACAGTTTGAAACACAGTTATACACCCCAAACAAACCATTGCCCCTCAAAATCACCTCACAGTTTCCCAAACTCCAAACGGAGACACCCCCCCCCCACCTCCAGGATTCAAACCTTCCACCCATAGTGGAGGAAATCAAGAGAAGAGAGTTGGGGAGCAGTCGACGCCTTTCAATTACCGTCCCCCACAAACTGCCCCACCCCACACCCCGCGCCCGGGTCACCCAGTCGGAAGCCCACTGCTTTCACCCTTCTCTCAATTGGGCCACTTAAGAGACCCATCCCCAGCGCCCGCTCACTTCCTCCCCAAAAATCCTCAAAAAAATGTTTTTAAAGTGAAAAGAAAGAAGTGAGGAAAGAGACTTGAGGTAGTCCGGCTTCAAAACCGCTCGACTCACCTCAGAATCCTCGCTGAGTTCTCTCCGCCCGGCACAGCCCCCTCCCCAACGTCCCAGTACGAAGGGCTGAGGTAGGGAGGAGGGAAAGCGGGAGGGGGAGGGGTGTCTTCCGCGTGGGGCGCCCGTCAGGAGGGGACTGGGGAGGGGTGGAGGCCGGCGCAGGAAGAGGAGAAGGGGGAGGGGAGGCCCCTATCTCCCAGTCTCCCCCTGAAAACCTCCCTTGTCTCAATCACATCAGACTGACTGTCTTTGTCTGGCTGACAACCGCCATATTGATATCAACAGCCCCGCTCCCACCTGCTGCAGCCGGGCATCCCTGGGAGTTGTAGTTCATATCTCCCCTGAGTAAAAGCGTGGGCCCGGCGCCTAAAGGCCCCAGGGAACTACAACTCCCGGCATGGCCCGCGACCGACCGCCTACCCTCAGGGAGGAGGGGAAAGCGGAGCTGGAGCCGTTGGAACTACACATCCCAGAATACCATGGGCCCCAGGCCCATATGGGGGACATGATATCATGCTGGGGTGGAGAGGGAGGATGAATTGGCGGCGGGGATGAATTTGAGCGGACGGAAGGAGGCGTTCAGAGAGGAAAGGGAGGAAAAGGAAAGACGACCACAGTTCCCATCATGCCTGGGGAGGGGAGAGTATATCTCCCATGATTCCCCGGGAAGGGGCGTGAGGACGAAGAAAGACTGCAAGTCCCGCGATGCTCTTGGCGGGCAGGTGCCGGAGATTGAACCGGAAGACGCTTCCTGGGTGTATGGAGTTCAGTGACTGTTTTTGAGCAACCAAAAGTCCAATATGAAACTGGTGAGTTTTCGCTCTTAGTTCAGAGGGCAAAGATGATGCCATATTCTTTTGTACCTCTTCGTTTCCATGTTTGCCAGGGAACCGTCGCACAGGAGGGGTGGCAAAGTTTGGGAACTGGGATGGGAAGTGGAGTGGGCTAAGGAAAGCTGCTTTTTGTCGTTGAGGTTTGAATTTCCTCTCCTGTCCCGCCCCCCGACCCCCATCTGCCAAGAAGTCTTTTTCACTCATTGGCGGGTTCATTTGTTCAGACAAGAGGTTAACTCTGTCACATTTCTTCACCCACGAACTAAGGTTGGGCACTATGAATTAGGTTTGGACTTTTTTCTCTGCTTCCACGTGAGTGTTATAATAGGTTGTTAACAACCTCTTTCTACTCGATTGGCACTTGAGTAGCCTGTCTCCCTACCGTTACTGAGACTTTGGTTAGATACGAGCACAGAGTAGAAAATACCCGGCAGAACCAATCACTTATTAAGTATTCTGTCATATAGGCTTCTAACTGCCCTTGGAGTTAAGAGAAAGACGAGTTCAGGGTGTGATCTTGGAGGGTTTGAGTGTTAAACCCCGCGTAGGATTTGGGAAGTGTAAGGTATTCCATTTTAGGACTTTAGAGATTGCATGAGCCAAGGTTAGATGAAGAATGCTACTATCTACCTGGAGAAGTCTGCATCACAAAAGCTTCTTAGATGTTTATTATGAGCCATTTTACTCTCATCGTGCACACAGATCCAACAAGTTTATTCCAACTCTATTAAAATGAGTAATAGCGGAGAGTAGAAAAGCAGGTGTGAGTTGCTGTTTCTCAGCCTTTTAAAACTCATGTTCCTGCAGCCAATTTATTGTGAAGCTTTACTTTCTGTAATTTTTATACAAAAACAAAAGGTTTATTTTTTTCCGTTTATATGGTTATTTATGCTTTTCCAAAGCACACAACCCACCTGCCCCCATTTGATAATCAACCGTGCTAGAGGAATACACTCTGCAAAGTCATCCGTTTTCTGAGAAGTCAGAGAAAGTATTAAAAGTGGATTCAGCTCCAAAACTGTCTTCATATGAAGCCATTTATGTAAGGGGAAGAATACAAGTCAGTAAACCTTGAGAATAGCGATTTGCCTCTGGGTCAATGTGCTAAACTGTTAAAAATGCAGAATTGAAAGTCATAGCACTTACCCTTAACAAGCATACAATCTAATGAAAAAGAAAAGCAAGCAGAGATTATAATTCACTGTGTTCCTGGTAAAAGAGAGGCATATTTAAAGTGCTTTGGGAATTGAGAGGACAGATGATGACTGGGGAGATGAGGGACAGCTTTCTGGAAAGGTGACTCTTGAACTAAGAGAAGAATAAGTATTAAAGAACTATAAGAAGAATAAGTAAGTCAGGGCCTTCCATGAAAAGGGTTTGTTCAGCATATTGGAACCAAGGAGCTTGTTACCTTAATGGCTGGTACACAGACCCTGTGTCCTCAGAATAGGATAAATCACATTCAGTGTGTTTGGTTTAAGAAAGGGATTTATGAAACAGTTTTTCCATGAAAACTCGTTTGTGAGGGTATCAGAAAACCAAGATTTACTTTACATATACTTTGGTTTGCTTATAAAATCCTCTTGCTTAATTTATTTAGAGATGTAAAAGCATGGAAGAGAAAAAAGGAAAAAAGTAGAAATTTTTTTTTTCCATTAAGAACCAAAAGATGCCTCTAGGAAAAGGAATTATTCTATTGATACTCTTTCCTTCTTCACTTTCAAATCATGTATTACATACTAAAACTCATTTGGTGGTTGATAGATAAATCTGAGGACTGGGTGCTGTGGCTCTCACCTGTAATACCAGAATTTGGGAGGCAGAGGCGGGAGGATCACTTGAGTCCAGGTGTTCAAGATCAGCCTGATCAACAAAACGAGACCCCATCACTACAAAAAATTTAAATATTAGCTGAGCGTGGTGGTGCACAGGAGGATCGCTTGAGCACAGGAGTTTGAGATGTAGTGAGTGATGATCAGACCATTGCACTCCAGCCTGCATGACGGAATGAGACCCTGTCTCTTAAAAAAAAAACAATCTGTAATGCAGAATTCCTATCAACATAACAAAGTGGTTTCAAAAGCATTGTTGCTCAGTGAGTTAAACTTGTGTGTCATGCCTCCCAAAGGATTGGAATAAATACTTCTGTGGCCTAAAATTTTTAATTTTGTGTACTGATTTAGGAATGTTTGGTAGGCTTTTAAATTTATATTGTGAAACAAAACTACATTTTATGGAGTATATTCTTGTTTTTGAGATCAACTTTCCAAACCATCCCTCCCCTGTACAACTTATGACCACATCTTGTTAATTCTACTTCCTAAATGAAGGAATCTTGAATAGGTTCTGTTTCTCTCCAGTCCCCCTAATACTGCCTTTGTGTGGGGTCTTTATACTTGCCACTTGGATTGCAACAAGACTGTCTAGCTGGTTTCCCTCATTCAATCTTAACCCTCTTATATCCATTCTCTTCTCTGAGTTAGAAGTTGTTTAAAATTGCAGAATTCCATAAAACCCTCTCAGTAGCTTCGTTTGCCTTTATATAAAGTCTTAGTCTTCAGTTGGTTGACTTGGCCCTGAGAATATGACCCAGCCTAACCAGAGCTCCGTTCTCTTTGTTCCAATTATATCAGACATCTTCTAGTTCCTTGAACTGACCCTGCTTTTAAAGTCCTCTGGAACTCTGAATATGTTCCAATGGAGACTGGGCATGGTGGCTCATGCCTATAATCACAGCACTTTGGGAGGTGGAGGCAGGAGAATCTCTTGAGGCCAGGAGTTTGAGACCAGCTTGGGCAGCATGGCGAGACACTGTCTCTTAAAAAAAAGAAAAAAGGTCCATTGCCTGCCTCACTCTTTTTTGCCTAGCTAATTTCTTCATATATTTCAGGTCTCTGTTTAAATAGCATTTCTTCAAGGCTTCCTTGAATTAGGTACCCCTGTCATATGCTTCCATGGCATACTTCCTATCTGTAGCACATGTAATTATCTTTTGTGTCTGCCCTCCCACTTGTAGACTCTATGTATTCCCAAAGCCTGCACATAGAGTGACCCCACTAAATAGTGACCCAATAAATAATTTCTGAGGGGTTATCAAGGCCTGTGAATACTATTGGCAAAAGATTAACAGGTGAAGTTAAACAAAGATCACAATAAACAAGCCAGAACCAGTGGCTCACTCCTTTAATCCTAGCGACTCAGGAGGCTGAGACGGGAGGATTGCTTGAGACTACCCTGGACAGTGTAGCCAGGCATGGTGGTGCACGTGTGTGGTCCCTGCTAATGAGTGATACCCTGTCTCTTAAAAAAAAAAAAATTACAGTAAACAATAAATGTTACAGTAAAAAATAATTGCTACATTTTATAGAGCAATTACTATGTGCCAGAGCAGTGGGCTAGGTATTTGTTATAAGTGTCCCATTTAATTCTTTGATCTACGTGATAGTATTCTCATTTTACAGATAAAAAATGCAAGCTTTGGGGAAATGACGTGGCTCAAAGTTACATAGATTCAAAGTGATAGTGCAAGATCTGAACCCAAGTCTCCCAGACTCGAGAGTCTGTTGCTTTAGTGAGTGCAGGGACTGTGGTAGTATGTATGCTAGGTTATCTCTTAAAGTAAAGCACACACCAAGAGAAATTTTATTCAAGGCTGTTTTAAAAATTAGCTTTAAATGTGAGTTTGGTTCAATTCAGATCTTTAAAAAGTTTATTGATTAAAAAAAAAATGAAGTTTGGGAACTCTCTTGATAATTCAAAGGGCCCCATAGCAGACCATACCAATTGAGTGCTAAAGTTAGTCTTTTTTGTATTGTCCAAATTTAGCTGTGTGATACCATTTGTAGTTCTCTAACTTTGTACATCACTGTCTTGGTGGCTTTTCACACACAAAAAAACAATGGATGCCATTTTAATGTAATATTTGAATATCTCCTTAGATACCAACTCAAAGGATTTTTTTTTTTTTTTGAGGCAGAGTCTCGCTTTGGTGCCCAGGCTAGAGTGAGTGCCATGGCGTCAGCCTAGCTCACAGCAACCTCACACTCCTGGTCTCAAGCGATCCTGCTGCCTCAGCCTCCCGAGTAGCTGGGACTAGAGGCATGCGCCACCATGCCCGGCTAATTTTTTCTATATATATATATTAGTTGGCCAATTAATTTCTATTTTTATAGTAGAGACGGGGTCTTGGTCTTGCTCAGGCTGGTTTGGGACTCCTGACCTCGATTAATCTGCCCGCCTCGGCCTCCCAGAGTGCTAGGATTACAGGCATGAGCCACCACGCCCGGCTCATGGATTTTAATAACTGCCTATATAACTCAAAGGATTTTAATAACTGCCTATATTTATAATATGCAGTATTTGGGCAGATTTATTTAACTGAGGAAAAATTCATTGGCATTTTCAATTAACCAGAATCATTTTAGAAAGAACAGGAAAATTAGAAGAAATGTGTCTTCTAAATCAGCACATTTTAGGGCATGTTCTTTCATTAGCATAGATTGAGCCTAATGGGGTACCCCGATGGCCAGTTCAGTTAAGGATAGAAACTAGAATTCACCAGGGTCCCTGTCAAAAGACCATAGAACAAAAAATGCTGAGTACATTGGCAGAAATTAAGTTTGAAATATCATGGCCAGGAATCTAGCCATTTAAACAGGTGAAGATTAAAGCGACTAAAATAGTAAGAAACAATTCAAGAATGCAGCATGTGTATGTACTTCTATAGATAGTCCCAGAGATGGGGCAAATCTAGCTTATTCAGTCAACAGAGATTTATTATGCAACCACAGTATACCCTTGGCATTTGAAGTCTTAACACTTTCCATTTTAACCATTACATTTGACCTCAGAGATCTATGACATGGAATTATTTATAATTTTGCTGAGGCACAAATTTGAATGTGACTTTAAGATTAATGATAATCCTTTGTGAGTAAGCCTGATTGCCTCAGAATCCATGGCTCTCTGCAGAGTTA